TCATACCTTCTCTGTCTTCACCACAGAGCCTTCTCTCCCTGACCGTCGTTCCTCAATCTCCAACCTCCCCGAGATTTTCCCAAGTGCTTCCTGCATTAGAATACTCCTCTTCTTTTATCCACATAAGGGTGATTGAAATTCCGAATTTTCTTCTGTCATGGTCCCCCAGAATCAAAGTTGGGAACTTATATCTCTGGGGCACTGACATTAGTCAATTCCTGAGAAGAAAATGTTAATAAGAAGACACTTGAAAATTCATCAATTCTTCAGGAAAAAATGGAGACAAAATTTACTGAGAATTTACTGGAATTTACCTGATATTATGGAGGGAACGTCTTCCTGGCTGACATCTAGAAAAGAAGTAGAGGATGATGGGAAAAGTTACTTCGTGCATCTTTCAGGGCTCATAGTGTTCTACGAGGAAAAGGGACCTCTGATCACATCCTGTGCATCTCCCTTTGTGACCTCATCAGTCACTGTCTGATGCTACTGGAAGTGGAGGAAGATGTAAGGGAAAGCAGGGTTGTTACTACACTGAGCATCAACCAGGAACTCAACAGAGAAGGGCCCCTGTTGGTCCTGTCATGATTCCTCAAGCCTTAGTGCTTATTTAGTTAAACTGCTCTGAGTATTTCAATGACATATTTGGGGATTCTTCTGCCCTCTTTCATCTGTAAATATGTTGCTTATGTTTGCAAGCTTTCTCAACAGAAGCCACCAGAAGTAACCACTTGGATACAATCTGACACATGCCACTCCCAGCACCTTGAAATACTACATGCAGGAGAGAAGAAAATGACAGTGTTTCACTCTGGTTATTGTCTATATGTAGACAGAGACAAGTGTTTTACCCATTTCTCTGTCTGGGCAGTAGCTCTGACATGTGTTTATCTCCTTCATGATGCTCAGCCACTGTACAGCAAGGCCAGCATCATCCCTGGCTACCAGGATCAGTACAGGATCTTCACAGCTGCACTTCCCTGACTCTGTCTTGCATTCTCCACGTCCTTCACAGCAGTCCCATGTCTCTATAAATGCAAATCTCACTCTCTCACTTCCCTGGTACAAATTCTTTATGGGGTTCTATTTGTGCAATCAATAAACTATGAGGCCTTGATGAGGAATGAAGGCACAACAGGTCTTCTGATCCTTGGCATGAGAACTCTGCAGTCCCATCTGTTTGCAGCCCCATCTGTTTTCTCATCCTCTTCTCTTCCCTCCTCTTTCCCCCTCTATAGCGTTTGCCCGTAAACCCCAGTCAGAGTCACAATCTCTTCCCCCAACTGGTCTTACCTTCACTTGAGCTCTGAACTGAGCTGAAGGCCAGCAGGGCCACTGATAGCAGAATCAGAAGCATCTTGCAGGAGGCTCTGGAGTCACTCCCAACTTTGTGCTGGGAGAACGTGTCAGCTCCCTTTATAAAGACAAGCAGAACAATGGCGCATTTGAGCTCCCTGCTGGGTGGGCCTCATCACCTCAGAGACTGGGTTCTGCTTTGCTTACTGCAGGTCAAGTGTATCCCTCATTTCTTTGGGACTCTAGCCCAGCAGGAAGGGTTGGGTAGGACGTTGTTTGTATCTAATATCTAAAAGGTACAACTATGACTTGGATACATGTTTTGACAGAATTGTGTCCAAGCAATCAGCACAGTGTCAGAATTGAACTTTCGACATCATTTGGTTTTCAATCTGTTTGGAAAGACTGCTATTCTGATTTCCACTGTGCTTTCTGTTTCTGTGTATGTGTGTTTGTGTCGGTGTGTCGGGGTGGCGGGCAGCTATCCCACAGCTAACAGTGAAGATGGTCAATATCTCTGACTCTTTTTGTAGCCTATTTCCATCTCTCGTAATATGTGTGTGTGTGTGGATATTTCCACATTTAGCTAAATTTTTCATGGAATAGAGATGGTCTTGCTTATCTGTGAGATGTGTGAGGACAGCACACTCCTGGGTACACATAGATGTGAGAAAGTTACCCCATAGCCTGCTCAGGCTACAGGGACTGTCCAAACTCTGTGGATCTCACTACACTCAGGCAAGCCCTGGTGCTGTACAACACAGGCAAGCTAAAAAATTTGTATTTTAAAAATATCTTTATGGTTTATTAAAACAAAACTGAACACAGAAACCACCAAGGGATTTCTAGACCTGAACAAACTGAATATATGGTTCCCTAAGTGAGCCAGACGATGTCATATAGCTAAGACCTCTACTTTCTCCAGAATATTCTATATAATTCATCCTCTACTTTATTTCTTCTAATAAATATTATAATTGTCATCACGGATAATTAAATCGCCACAATTATACATTCAACTAAGATAATTTGTAATGTTATCCGCCTTGGATTGATTGGTCTTCTGTTTTTTACTCAGTAATTGTATCACGTGTTTCATCAGAGTGTTCTTTCACACAGAGAATATTTATCTATAATATTCTAATACTCTTTCTTTCTCACACTTATTTGTCTATATCTTGTATTCTGAATCTACCTTGCCATGTTTACTTTTCTTCCTATATCTTTTTTTTCTCCCCACACAAATGTCCGTTACTTATTCTTCTAAGTGATGGTGTATGGTACTCCTCACTACCTTTACTTTCATTTTTTTCTGTATAATTTGACAATAAAAAATTAAGTTTCCAAAAAGCCCTGTCAGGGTCTTGATTTGGTAGCTCTCTCCTCAGCTGCTGATTGCTCCAGGATACCTAGAAATTCCGTGTTCATCAATTCATAAAATATACTAGTCAGTGTCACCAGCTGCACTTTCCAATTCAGACCTTGTGTAGGCCTAGTGTAATTTTTCACTTTTTGTGCATGGCTAATCTTTATTTGAAGATAGCTTCATTGGAGGTATGGCTGAGAGGCCATGTGACAGAAAATCATAAAGACAAGCCCCTAGCCAGGTGTGCATGAGTGGATCCTGTGCTGTGCATACAAGGGTCTGGTCTGGCCCTTCTGAAGAGTTACAGATAATAATACAAGAAGCCTTCCTAGTAGATTAGATTTTGCTGCATACAACATTGTTCTTGTAAGGGACCCAGACAGATTGTTATTTTCCCTGGAATAAATATAGACCGATTTGAGGGGGAATGCCTTCTTAATTGTCAATTCTTCTCTGGCCCTGTGGGAAGTGGATCAGTTCTGGTTGGGCTTTATGAATTGCATCTTAAGCATAGAGTAGTTGCTTGAGCCCAGCAGCTCCCAGTGTGTTAGGGAGATTATTGTCTCTGGTTTCACCAGATACTGTTTTCCATAGGAGGTGGAAGTGAGCAGTCTTGCCTAGGTGACGCCAGGTCAACCATCATGTCAAAAACGAAGGTCAGAGAAAAGGAACAAAGAGGAGTGCCAGGCAGATACTGCCTGATGATGTGGGCAACTGAGAAATCTGCAGGCCTAGTGCAAGACAGGTTTTTTCTTGGCAGTAGAGTACAGGAAAAGAACAGGAAATGCTCCTAAAGGTCACTCAGCTCAGGCCTGTTCCCTAAACTTCTCCAATGTCAGCAATCAGCAAAAGAGACTAGTGTATCCGGAAAGCATAAATATCAGCTATGCTCTCACCAGACAAATCAAAAACAGAGGTAATGGAAGAGCTGAAAGGGACACTGTCTGTGAGTGAGGGTGGGTGGGTGAAAGGGAGAAGCAGGACTGCTGCAGGAGCTTGGGCACCTAGAAGTGAGTGGCAGCCCTCAGCACCACACTTGCCTTCTACTATGGATGTTCACATTCTGAGGCCCTGAAGGATCAGTCTTCAACATATGAAATTTTAGGATTCATCTCTCATAACACATCCCAACATTTTCTCAGTTACTGACAGGTATTTACCTAGTGGTTCAAAACTCCTCACTCCCTCCATCATTAGCTGATCTAATTGCTTCCGCCTTCAAAATACATCCCAAATATGACCATTCGCATGACCTTTCCTAGAAGGTGATTGTTCAGCCATGATGCTCTCTCCTGGAGGACTTTAACAGCTTCCAGCTGGTCTTGGTAACATTCTTCCCTCAGCTCATCCCATATCAGTCTCCTCACAACAATCAGAGTGATCATTTAAAAGTAGAAATTAGGTCATATCACATTTGTGCTTCAAATCCCCTGATTTTCCTTCTGCACTTATGATAAGATCCAAATTTCATCCCTCAGCTCTTTCACACCCACATGGCTCACTCTTTTTTGAATACCAGGAAGCTCTCTGCATGGAACAGAAAGTAGAATCTTCTTCAGCTTCACCATCCTCTAGTTTGCTTGGAGCACTAAAGATGATTTGCCAAGAAAGATAAACATTGGCAGAGGGGATAAACTTCTCTGAGAGTCAGTGAGTTGCATTGAGTCACTGGTGTCTGGCAGTGTTGCAAATTAGAAGAATTATTGTATTAATTGCACCAACTAGGCAATCTAACAATACAGTTAGCAAATAAACATAATAGTCTCTGAGATTTCAGCTTGCTTTGACTTGTCTAAAAATTTTATTGACACTATTATGGTGGTCTTCTATTTTTTTTAATTTGATGTTGATCCATAAATATATATTATATATTTCACAATTAATTTAGCATATTTATTTATTTATTTTTGAGATGGTATCTTGCTATGTCGCCCAGGCTGGGGTGCAGTGGTGCGATCTCAGCTCACTGCAACCTCTGCCTTCTGGGCTAAAGCATTTCCCCTGCCTCAGTCTCCCAAGCAGCTGGGATTACAGGCACCCACCACCCCGCCCAACTAACTTTTTGTACTTTTAGTAGAGACGGGGTTTTACCATGTTGCCCAGGCTGGTCTTGAACTTCTGACCTCAGGTGATCCACCCCCCTCGACCTTCCAAAATGCTGGGATTACCAGGCATGAGCCACCGCGCCCAGCCAATTTAGTGTATTTCTGTTCTTTCCACCTATCCTAACCAAATTGGTTATAATAGAAAACTTTGGTTAAGCATTTACTATATTCCATTTAATCATCAAAACCATTTTATTAGGGAGATACGATTGTTAGTATTACCTTAATTTTATAGATGACATGACTTAGGTACATATCGAAGTTCTCATAAATGTAGTAAGTTGAATAGAAGGCAGTCAGTTCTCAGAGCTTTCTGTGCTCCACTACTTACTTGCTGTTCATTTATTCATTTCGTTACTACAGTGCGAGAGGGAATGAGGCTCACAGAAGAAACATATGTTCTCGTATTAGGAAATTATCAAAGTTAAGCTTTCCTAACACTTTAACAGGTGAAGTGAGAAATATTTTTTTTCTGAGTAAATATGTTTGTTTTAAATCATAAGCTCGTTTACATAGGCTTCCTGTAACCCATTTTCCTCTTGCCTTCATATAAAGACACTCATACGATTAATTCCTTTTCTGGGGGCGGATTACGAAAACCCTGTCAATGTAGATGCTCTATGTGCTTTCTTAATATACACTACATGCATTTTTCTGGTGAGCCATGTTAGCATTGGCAAAATTTGTGCATACCCTTTTAAATGGACCAAACGTTGATTCTAATCATAATGAATCTAACATTTTAGAAATCCGCGAGAGACCGGTCTGAGATTTGTCTATAAAGGGATAAATTTGTATAGCACTTACACAAATTTCAGTCTTCTATCTGAGAGTGTCTCCTGTGTCCTGGCCCCAGAGCTGGTGTTACTGAAATATGTCAGGGTCACTGGTCTCATTGTCTGAGGTGTTATCCGAGCTCATGGTCTCAGGACCAAGAAAATTAAGGAGTGTGGACACAAAGGGTGAGGCTGGAGCAAAAGTTTAATACACCAAAGAAGAAAGCTCTCTGCAGTGGAGAGGGGAGTCAAAGTGGATTGCCATTTTTACAGTTGAATCCAAGAGCTTTTATAGAAAACTGCTGTCATCTCAGTAGCTATTTTTCTTATCTATAAAATTGCCTGCACAATTCTTAGGTATGTATGTAGTTGTGTATGCAGTTGTGGATATGTCTTATGTATGTATGTGTGTAGTTATGTATGTCGTTGTGGATATGTCTCTAGGCAAGCACAAAGTGCAGCTTTTTGTTTGTATACTTGTGTGTTTGTTTTAAGTAAGCCCCCTTGCTCCCTCTGCAAGTGCCACGGAGCCCACTGCGTACATACGGCTTCTACGCCAGACTTTGCTACCTTGCCTGATTCTCTGTGGCTTATCTGGGCAGGCGCACCCTAGCTGTGATTTTTTGTGCAGGGAGCTTCTGCAGTCTGTTTTTCCCCAAGTTGCTCTGTTTTTCTGGTAGCTGTGTTTTTTCAGGCAGGCAGCGTTTCCAAGGACCAGCCTTATCTGTTTACCTAAATGATATTTTATTTTCTTCCCCCTCATTACTTCCTCAGTGGTTGGGGCTGAAAAGGAGTGCTAACCAGCCTAAAGTCAAGTGTCTGCCTTAGGAATGCCAGGGGGAATTCTAAAATTTTCAATTGCTCCTTCTCTGAGTTCATAGAGAAATACAATCACAACCTCCTTTAGAAGATACAAAGGAACATACATCTGTCTCACATTTTTATTAAAATGTACAAACAAGTAAGCTACTATTTTTAAAAGAGGGATTGTGTTAAAGTGATTAATAAATGACTCACTTTGTTTAGGTAAACATGTATGTTTTATCTTAGAAGAAAGCTTTTGCCCCTCCTGCTTAAGAACCATAAATTGGTCCGGTGCGGTGGCTCACGCCTGTAATCCCAGCACTTTGGGAGGCCGAGGCGGGTGGATCACGAGGTCAGGAGATCGAGACTATCCTGGCTAACACGGTGAAACCCCGTCTCTACTAAAAATACAAAAACAGTTACCCAGGCGTGGCGGCAGGTGCCTGTAGTCCCAGCTACTCCTGAGGCTGAGGCGGGAGAATGGCTTGAGACCGGGAGGCGGAACTTGCAGTGAGCCGAGATCGCACCGCTGCACTCCAGCCTGGGGGACAGAGCAAGATGACTACTCAAAAATACAAAACAAAACAAATAAACAAACAAAAAAACCCCATAAATTGCTACCATATTTGGTTGATTTCAAAGTGCACATTTTTGCTTATATAACATCTTGGAAATTGGGATGTGTGGCACATTGTATTTTCCAAAGATGGTCACAAAAGTCTTTTTCATCTTATATTATCTTCTTACAATGGGACCTTACATCGTCTCTGGAAGGGGTGAGGTGTGATTTCATCCCCCTTCCACTTGGGTGGAACTTTGTTACTGCCGTGACCAACAGAATATGTCAGAAGTGATGCTTTGTGTCTTTTGCGTTTAGATCACAAAAATGTCTTGCAATTTCAGCTGGTTCTCTAAAGAAACGACCACATGCTACAAGGAAGTCCATGCTGTGAGGCAGAGGTGTAAAATTTGTTTTTAAAAATAATTGAATACATCACTGTCCCCAAACAACGTAGAATAACCAAGTTTTCTTACATGATTGTATTATTATATGAATTGTATATTGCATTTCTATACATGGATGGTTATATAACTAAAGATGTATTCATCATTCGTTTGTACCTAGCATGGTGATATTTTAGAGGCCTTAGCTCTTTTTGTACTTACAATAGCCTCTCAATTATTTTTGCATGATGTTTACCCTTCTGAAGAGGGAATTAAATTTTTAATATGATTGAGTATTGTTCCCAAAGTCACATAATTTATAGATATAAGCAGAGTTCAGAAATTCTATGAAGAGAGAGAGAAAGAGAGAGACAGAGAATGATAGGATAACCTTACTCATCAGAACAATTTAAAATACATATATCCAAATAATAAAATGCATAGGATTCAATTGAAGAAGAAAGATCAAACTTTGATGAAGATTATACACTATAATCTGAATACATATAAGTTTCTGGATAGGGAAATGCACTATTCCAAAAGCACCAATTTTCCAGGTGTTCCTGTGTAAATTGATTGCAACATTGTACTCTCGTCATGTCTGGTTTTGGCTTTTTCTGATTCACAAATTTTCAGTGTGTCATCCCAGGTTCACAGTTTTGTTGTATTTGTTGTTTACTGTCATTTCCTCTTTAATCCTCCACGTGGATGGGTGCTTCTTTATTATAGTTGTTTAGGGACATGGGAAAAGGGCAGAAATAAGTACATGTGTTCAACGCACTGTGCATTCCAATACCCTTAGGATTAAAGGGCAAATATTACAGTTGCAAACAGCTTCATCAAGTGACCCATGTGCTTACTTTCTTTCTTTTTAAGTGTATTCAAGTTACTTTAAAAGACAGGCTGCTATTACCTGTGTTTCTAATTCTAACAGAAGAGTCTGCAGTCTTTTCTTACTGGCTGCATTAAAGAGAACATGACCGTGAGTTTACAATCAGATGGCTATTTTTCAAAGGTTACTGAATAAACTCAACCTATCTTTGCAATCCTAGAAACAATTTTAAGTGACAAATAGCTTTTTATATGCTAATAGGCTAACAAATACAGTTTTATATAACAAAAGTACACAGTTTGAAGTCTACCAGTTAACCATGTTTAGAACTACCAAAACAAATGTCTCTATATGATAAGAAACACTTTAAAACGGGCGTGGGAGGTTGGTGGTTCACACCTCTAATCCCAATATTTTGGGATGCCAAGGCTGGTGGATCACTTGAGGTCAGGAGTTAGAGACCAGCCTGGTCAACATGGTGAAACCCTGTCTCTACTAAAAATACAAAAATTAGCCAGATGTGGTGGTGTCCGCCTGTAATCACAGCTACTTGGGAGGCTGAGGCAGAAGAATTGCTTGAACCAGGGAGGTAGAGGTTGCAGTGAGCCGAGATTGCACCACTGCATTCCAGCCTGGGTGACAGAATGAGACTGCATCTCAAAAAAAAAAAAGAAGAAAAAAGAAAATATTTTGTGTCTATTAGTTAATAGACATGGATAGAAACTCAAGTTTATAAGGCACATAAAGAGTTTGAATTTAACTCAAATTTTCACTCAATATTTTTTAGCTAAACCTAGTCTATACTCAAGTTTTCCTGATTGTCTGAAACATGTCTTTTTTAGTTTTATTGAACAATTGAAGGCTTACTTAAATGAGCATCCAAACAAGATTGACATATTGCATTTGATCAGATTTGAATTATCTATGAAGCAAAAGAAACTAGAACTTTGGGTTCCTGCATCTGCACAGGCCCCTTTCAAGACCCTGTTTAGACTGAACAGAAAACAAGTATTTAAAAGCTTTATGAACTAGCAGTAGTCCTCTTTCTGTCCACTCCTCCACTCAAGCTTCCATCATTATTCATTTTTCTGTCTGCCACTTACTCACAGGGTCATCAGATTTCAATGCCTTCTGCTTCTCAAAGCACACCTCAATACTTTCAGGCATGTTTGAAGTTTATTTGAAAAGAAGACTTGGCCCTCACTTAGCAATTTCTAACTAATTGGATTCTTATGGCTACAAATAATGGCTATCTTCTAGCACTGCTCTTAATGTACTGTGGAGTTGCAGATTTTAGATGGAGGAATCTAGAAATTTTACTTTCCTGGTGCCTGAAAGGCCTATTAAAATGAGGTTGATTGTATGGCTTTAAATTCTTATTCTTCCACTTCATGTATCCTTTGCAAAACATACTCCCTGCA